ATATCTAAGTTGGCCCTTGCTGCCTGAGGCCATCGTTTTCTTTTTTTGCAAGATTTCCATTGCTGTTAATAAAAGCAGATGTATTCTACAATTCTTATCATTATCATTGCCTCCATACCAGTCAAATGAAACAGGCAGCCCTTTTCCCAACTCCATTTCATCTTCTACCCGTACCTCACCCCAATTAGCCACAAGTGAAAGCCTTAGTCCTTTCGATGCCACTTTGTATCAAGGGTTATCATTACCCACTTACCATGAAAAATGGGATTCCTGTTGCCATCATAACAGCGAGTAATCCAATTTCAGAATCCTAGTAGAATTTTTGCCTTCCATGAGGGAGACCCGGGTTTATTTACCAGCCAATGGACCCCATATGCAGCCACCACTCATCTGTCAGTGGAGGTTTTCTTGTTGCTGTGATGCTGTCTTGGTCAAACAGTGCTGCTGTAACAGAAATACCACCAGTCGATGGCTTTAACAAGGAGAAACTTATTTTCTCACAGTCCAGTAGGCTAGAAGTCCAAATTCAGGGCATCAGCTTCAGGGGAAGTCTTTCTCTCTCTGTCAGCTGTGGAGGAAGGTCTTCGTTGTTATCAGTCTTCCCCCAGACTAGGAGCTTTTCTGCGCAGGACCCTTGGGTCCAAAGGAAGCGCTCTGCTCCCGGTGCTTCTTTCTTGGTGGTATGAGGTCCCCAACTCTCTGCTTTCTTCCCTTTCCTTTTATCTTTTGTAAGATAAAAGGCGGTGCAGGTTACACCCCAGGGAAAAGCCCTTTATGTTGGCTCAGAGATGTGACCTTAGTAAGGGTGTTACAATCCCACCTTAATCCTCTTTAACATAAAATCACAAAATAGAGGACTACCACACAATGCTGGGAATCATGGTCCAGTCAAATTCATACACACATTTTTGGGGGGACATAATTCAGTCCATGACAGATGCTGATCAGGTTTCAAGGGAGCTTCCAGAGTAAGATAGACTAGGAAGAAAGGACTGGCAATCTACTTCTGAAAACTAGCCAGTGAAAACCCTATGTATCACAATGGGTTTGATCCGCAACTGATCCTGGGGTGGCACAGGACTTGGCAGCATTTCGTTCGGTTGTATATGCGATCACCATGAGTCAGACGACAGCTAGCAATAATAATCCTGAGGGTCTTCTCTCAAGGACCACTCTAGGGACCAATTGTCTTAGGAGGCAAGCAGTGTGTGGTCATGAGGTGAGTGTGGGGTGTCTTTCTGTGTGAAGCCAGGTTGGAGGCCAAGAAGAGTTGGTCACTCCAGCAGAGGCTAGGACAGGATAAGTGGCCAAAGGCCCTGGAGACATGTAAGGCCGAGAGGCTCTGATGTGGCATTAAGAGATGTCTGCTACAAAGGAATAGCATAGATTTTCTTTCAAAACCAGGCTTACTCCATTTGCATTTATTGATGTCATGTGATGGATAGGTTTGGTCCTCACTCTGGCATCTGATTTTATGTCATGTTTTCTCTAGTAAGAGCTTCCTTTGTTTTGTGTCTTTTGCTCTATGGAGTGCATGTATGCATGTGTGTTTTCTTCAGGCTGTTTCACTGCACGTCAGTGGCAATTGGGCATGCCCTTTCTTCTGGAACCACTGACTTTGTCAGGACAAGATGTGTCAGATATACTAAGATGTGATCTGATGCATAAAACCTAAGACTACACACACAAGTGCACTCCCTGTTTGCTTTACTGCTACACATTTGTGCCCTTACAAACACAGGAATCCTGATAAATTCTATTTTGCCCAATACCCATCAAGACAGGAAAAAAATTTTTTGTGTGTTTATAACTATATGTAGATACAGCTCTAGTGAAAACATTCCAGAGAGAACTTCGATTTTGATCAGGGTCATTGAGAACCAAATCTTCCGCTTACAATTTCACATGTCTGATGACTGGAAGAATTTTCTGCACATCAGCTTCTACCTCCTTCCTCCTCACAACTTAATCCTTCTCCACTGCCCACACAGTCTCAGTGCAAGGCACTCTAGGGCATGTGTCCACCTCTGGCTCTATTCCTTTGTGTCACAACATCAGATGAGTCAGCACGCACAGTGGTCAGGTATTTCTGGAAGCCTTCCTGCACCAGGAGAGCTGGCAACAACTTAACCACATGTAGAAACAACTACAAACCACATAAATATAGTCTACTAAACTCAAACTAAATGTTCTTGTTCCAGTTGCTGCTGAGTTGATTTTTGATTCAAGGCGACCCCATGTGTGTCAGAGTAGAACTGTGCTCCATAGGGCTTTCAGTGGCTGATTTTGGGGAAGTAGATTGCCAGGCCTTTCTTCTGAGGTGCCGCTGATGGATTCAAACCTCCAACCTTTTACAGCCGGGCGCATTAACCTTTTGCACCACCCAGGGACTCCAAACTAAATGTGTCCTCTGTCAAGTTCCCCTCACCCAGATTCCACTCTAACATCACCTAACATGAGGCAAAGGAGAACTCTTGGCAAAAAGAGATAGCGGTCTTAACTGCAGCAAAACTATTTACCAATGAAAATTTCACAGAAGCATATGCCCATGTGAACACACTGTTAGCTACCGCAGCCCCGTGGCCATGGTACTGAGGGGCCCAAAGGTTCAGCTTCTTTAGCTGAAAATACGCTTCTGCCAAAAATAATTTTAAAAAAATTTAAGGGAAGCTTGAGGAGCAAGGGGAGTTGGTTGTCGAATAATTTGATTGTTGAACAGTGTTAACCTAAGATGACTCAATACTGTCTTCCCAGTGGAGATGTTGCACCTCGTGGTGTATAATTTAATATAGAGACGTAAAGCTGTTGCCATTGAGTCGATTCCAACTCATCATGACCCTGTAGGACAGAGTAGTACTGCCCCATAAGGTTTCCAGGGCTGTAATCTTTATGGAAGCCGACTGCCATATCTTTCTCCCACAGAGCGGCTGGTGAGTTCGAACCGCTGACCTTTCAGTTAGCAGCTGAGCGCTTTAACCACTGTGCCACAGGGCTCCTATAAACAAACTGCAAAACAGTTGTAAGAAAGTCCAACAAAGGTCTGTTTTTTTAAAAAAAATATTTCCTTGTTCTTTTAGTTTTCTCTGCCTTGCTGCTGCCTGGTCTGCCTATCCAGCAGCTGATGGAGTGAAGTTGCAGAGCTTAATAGGCAGGAGATTATTCTTCCTAGGAAAGTGTTTAGAGTAATGCTGTGCAATAGAACTTTCTGCCATGATGGATGTGTTCTCTGTCTGTGCTGTCCGATACGGTAGCCCGTAACTGCATGTTGCTATTGAGTGCTTGAAATATGGCCAGTGAGACTGAAGAATTGAATTTGAAATTTTATTTAAGTTTAATTAATTTAATTTAAATAGCCACAAGTGGCTATTTAAATTTGGAGCCACAATGAAGGGGAGGATGACTCAGAAGAGGGAAGAAAGGAGGAGTGTATGACAGCCAGGAGAGCAGCCTAAGGAATTATGAGGAGAGAGGGCCAAGGAAGGGACGGTTCTGCCCTGGGGTGTTCCTAGTAGGGCTCTTCAGTGTCCTTCCTTCTCTGAGATCCACTGGGCAGCCAGGTAGGGCAGACAGGAGGCAGGGCTAACTTATCCATCAGGCACAGCGCCTAGGGCTCACAATGAGAAAGGAAGACCCAAGAAGAATTGACGCCTTTGAATTTTGGTGATGGTGAAGAACATAGAATACACCGTGGACTGACAGAAGAATGAACAAATCCTTAGAAGGGAAGATGGTGAGACTTCTCTCAGTTACTTTGGATATGTTATCAGGAGGGACTAATCCCTGCAGAAATAGAGGGTCAGTGAAAAGGAGAAAGACCCTTAGTGAGATGGATTGACACAGTGGCTGCAACAATGGGCTCCAACATACCTACATTTGTGAGGATGGCGCAGGACTAGGCAACGTTTCTGTTATACTTAGGATCGCTATCAGTTGGAGCCAACTCAACAACATCTGACAATAACAATTAGAGCTCACAACACTTTTAGAAGCTCATGAAAATGTTTTAATTTCTTTTAAAATCAGAAGAAAGAAAAATTAACTTTCAGGTCAAAGAAAATGTTTTAATATATATTAATATACTCGTCTTTATGCCAACATAGCCATAAAACATAAGTTTAAAAACATATTTATATGTTATATGCATACATATATGTAGATTTATACATGCACATATTATTTTTATTTTTAAAAAGGAAGAGGCCTAAGAAAGTCATGATGTGGTGGGGGGAGGGGGGACAGGGCCATCTACCACCACTGACAGCTCATCCTGGTCACCGTTTTCTGAACGATCCCTTTAGAGGGCACACCTGGCCTCCCTGAATGAACCCACCAGCCCCGCGCGGCAGGCTTGGAAAATGCACGTGCAGACTGGGACGTACCTGGGCAAAGGGGGGGGGGGGAGGGGTCCGGGAAGTGCGCAAGGAGAGAGAAGCGGAGGTCAATGCTAAGCTCTAGAGACCATAAACTCATTGATCTTTACAATCCCTCTGATACTTGAATCCCCTTTTACAGAGGAGGGAGCGCAGGCTCAGAGAGGTTGAGGAATTTGCCCAACCTCACACAGCTGGGATTCAAACGTTGGTGTGTAGTTGATCTGACTCCCAAACCCAGACTTCTTCCCAATCTCTGGAACACCTCCCTCAGCCACTGTGGGACCACGGGCGGGGCACAAGGAGTAGCTCCTATGCTGACCACCTGGTCGTTCCTGAGGGCTGTTCCCCCCTCTCCATTCCTGCTCCCCCGTAACCTACCCTCCCAGAGCTGATCCTAAGAGGATCTTACAGGATCTCTGAGCCTTATTTTCCCCTTTGTGCGTGTGTTGGGGCAAGGTCTCCCTCCAGTAACAAGGAAGGAGAGAGAAAAACCAGAAGGACGTGTTAGTCCTCTCCCACAGTGCGCGTGTGTCCTAAGCCCCACGCCGCACGTCCTCCCGGAAGCCGCCTCCCACCGCGCGCGGCCTGCCCAGGAATGGGGCTCGGCCCCTTTAAATCCCGCCGGGAACGCCCTGGGTCGGGCCGCGCGGTTCCGGGATCCGCAGCTTGGAAACTGCGGTTGTCGGCTCTTCTCGTGGCGCTTCCTTTCGCGGTGCCCCCCACCCCACGTGCCGGCGCGCCGGCGGTGCAGATAATGAGCCGCATCTACCACGACAGCGCCCTCCGGAACAAGGCAGTGCAGAGCGCGCGGCTGCCCGGGGCTTGGGACCCAGCCGCCCACCAGGGGTAGGCTCTGCCGCGTCCCCCGCGGGCCGGTTTCCCATCTCTGCCCACGGCCTGTAGCTCCGTCGCCCTCCCCTCTCTACTTTGAACCTGGGCTCCGGGATTGAAGGGTGGGATGGAGGGAGGAGAGGCTGGGGTGACCAAAGTCGACTCTCGGGCCCCCCATCCGCTCGTCCCTGCAGTTGAGCGCGCGCTCTGAGGCGAAAATCGGCTTGCAACGCCCCGCCTGCCCCCGGTGCCCCTGGGCCGACCTCTTTCCCTACCCTACCCCCATGACTATAAACTCCAGCCACTTGTTCTGCTGCCTTGCCTCCCGGCTTTTGCACAGGCTGTCCCCTTCTCCTGACAAGACAGGTCCGTGCAGTGACCGGAATAGCAGGTGGCAGTTGGCTGGGCGGGGCCGGGGCCCGCCTGCAGCTGGGTAGCCCTGCCATCACCAAGGTTGTAAGAACGAATGAACCATAGATAATTTTCAAGGAACTCTGGTGGCGCAGTGGTTAAAGCGCTTGGCTGCTAACCGAAAGGTGGTAGGTTTGAACCCACCAGCTGCTCTGCGGGAGAAAGACGTGGCAGTCTGCTTCCGTAAAGATTACAGCCTTGGAAACTCTGTGGGGCAGTTCTACTCTGTTCTACTACAGCGTTGCTGTGAGTAGGAATCGACGCCATGGCAGTAGGTTTGGTTTCTGGGTTTAGAGAATTTTTGTGTGGGAGGTTGGGGGGATGGGCTGGGGCAAGTAAGGCAGAGAAAGTTTTCTGATTCTGTCCCCCCACCCCCTCCCCCGTCATCCTCGGCTGCCCCCACCACTCTCCCATTTCTGTGGTTCCACGAAAGTGATCCCCCAGGTTCTGCTTTTATGAAAAATCGAATCAGGAAGCCGGGGGGTCCAGTTCCTCTCAGTGAGCAACCCTGCCATCTTGAGCTAGTCACAGAACTCCGAGTCTCGGTTTCTCCACCTGTAAAATGGGAATAACCATTTCCTCATTACGTTGTAGTGGATATGAATGAGAACAGGAATATATGAAAGTGCTTTGAAACAGGTGAAAAGGGAAGATAATTCATAGCAATTTAGACCCCGCCCTTCCCAATTTGGTTAAATAACAAGCAAAACCCTTTGTATATACTAAGCATTTAATAGTTTACAAAACTCCCTCACATACATGATCTTATGTCATCATCGAAGGAGCAGAATGAGGTGGCTGCTGCTCTCCCCATTTTGTAGATAAGAAGACTGAGGCTGTCATTACAATAACCCCCAGTGGCCCTGAAGGAGGGACCATAGCTTGGTCTTAGAGCAGCCTTATAAGGTTTCTCCTGCTCCCTGGGTAGTGCCGACACCCCTACCCTTGCAGAATGGAGGTCCCAACATGGGAAGCACAGAGAAAGGGCTGCTAAGTAAGGCCAGGTAAGTAGGAGATGTGTATGGGACTTACTTCTGTCCCCATGCAGATGACCTGGGCCATCAAGCTTGGGCTGTGGCTCTTCCCTGAGTACTGACAGAACTGACCCATCCTTTCTTTTCCTCTTGCCCCAGGGGAAACGGCATCCTGCTGGAGGGAGAACTGGTGGATGTATCTCGGCACAGCATCTTGGATGCCCATGGCAGGAAGGTGAGGATGCATCCTGGGTGGCACCTCGGGGCACTGGCTTCACACCAGAGGGGCCTGGGTCATAGCTGAGAAGACAGACCAGGCCCTAAACCCAAATAGTGTGTTTGGGCTGGGATTGGGAGTGTGAGAGCAGGAAGGGCTGAGGTGGGTAGTTCAGGACTAAGTCTGTGGATGCTCTGAGGAGGCCTTGTCACCTTCTCATGGAACAGAATTAGGACCCTTGCTAGAGGGCCAGGATGGGTGGCTGTTCGTTCTGAGAGGCTGGGGTCCAGACCCCTGTCCTCTGGCCTGGTGGTTCCCACTGCCCTGAGGTGGAAGACGAGGTCAGAGCGGGTTAACGGCCTGTTTGGGTGCACGGTCAGCGGTGACCTTCCCCTTCCTGGGTACCAGCTCTGTTTCCAGGAAACCATGTGCACGTTTAATTTTTTGGAATTGAATTATTGTAAGTACTTTGGAGTTTATTGTTCAGAGCCTTGTAAAGTAGTGAAGCTCTTGGCATGGGCTCCCTCACCTTTTAATACCACTGTTTGTGGCTGGGCATTTTGGAATGTTGGATTTTTACAAAGCAGGTCCCCTGTGTGGATGTGGACCTCCACATGTGTACAGCAAGAGGAGTGGGAGAGGGTTGCTGTTTGCTGGGCTTTTACTCCCAGCCTGAATGTGAGGTCTACATTGCTGACCCTGTCAGTGGCTTTATTCCCAAGTTGAAGCCCCTTCTACCTTTGCCCTCTCAGCCTCTTGGGGTCATGCCCTTTATCACCCCCCCATCTCCAGTGTCCAAGGACACGCCTGGTGCTCACCATCTCTTACTAGCCTGCATCTCTTTCCTGAGCACTAGTTCTGAATTTTCACCCCCCTTTCAAATAGCACCACCCAGATGTGTTGACAGCCTTAACTCCCTGATATCTAAAACTGAGCTTATCCAAACACCCTGTCGAGGTGCCTGGAGATGTGACATGGAGCCTGTCTTTCTCTCCTACACCCTGCCGGAACAGCCTCAGCTCCCAGCTTACCACTCATTTTTATGCCAAGAGATGCTTTGCTATACCCTTCCCTCCTTAGCACACACGTCAGCAGGATAGGCACACCAATCCAGAGTCTCCAGCCAGCCTGCCCAGGGGTGCCCAGCGGTATCCCCACACTGAGGCAGAACTCTTCCTGCTAGGCTGGTGCTCTCCCCAACCCCTCTCCAAACTTGCTTTCTCTGAGTTCCTTGTTTCTTATGATAGTGCTTTAGCCCTCCCAGCCAAGCTTCAACCCCCCTCCCCTCCCGCTCACAGCCAGATAAGCAGATGTTGGGCTCCTACCTTGGCCATTCTGAAAATGTGATTTGCAGATGTGCTTTGACCCAGGTCACACATCTGTTGGAAGAGCTTAGTGGCCGCACTAGCCTGGGGCTCCTTTCCAGTACCCTTTCCATGACACCTTGGCTGTATCCACTCCTGCTTTATGGTACTTGAGATCCATAGTGCTTTGTGCTTGGCTCATGGTTTTCTATACATACTTTGCATCCCTGGCTGTGTGGAGGCCATGTGCCCGACCTGCCATGGACTTCTATCATGGCTCATTATGTGGCAGATGTTCTGTTGAACACACGAATGAATGAATGAGTGAATGAATATGTGAATGGGGACATCTGCCCAGCTTCAATATCTTTTGGAGCTGAGGTGGGATACGGGGGTCAAGGTGAGGCTGAGGAGGGTTGCAGCCAGAGCCTGGGGGAGTTGTGTGTTGTGGCTGGGGGCAGTGAAGGCAGCCCCCTCACTCTCCCTCTGCCTGGCCACAGGAGCGCTACTACGTGTTGTATGTCCAGCCCAGTCGCATCCATCGCCGCAAATTCGACTCCAAGGGAAATGAAATTGAGCCCAACTTCAGTGCTACCAGGAAGGTGAACACAGGCTTCCTCATGTCATCCTATAGTAGGTATCCTCCACCCCTCCTCCTTCAGGGCTCTCCCACCAGTGTGGCCTTCCTTGACCCCTGAGCCTTTCAGCCCCTAGAAAGTGTCTTCCTAGCATGGTCAGCCTTGAAGTCAGACGCTAAGGGCCCTCCTGTCTGGACTAGACTCCTTCCGGCCCTCCGGGTGCCTGGCTGGCGTTCATCTCCCGCCGTCTCCCGCAGTCTGATAGAATCATCCACGACCTGGTTCTAGGCTCTGACTGTGAGATGGTTGAGGTTGTGTGTCAACTTCGCTAGGCCATGATTCTCAGTGGTTTGGCAAATATGTAATCATCCTCCATTTTGTGATCAGATGGGAGCAGCCAGTCAGTTGAAAGGGGGATTTCCTTGGGGTGTGTGGTCTACATCCAGTATATATAGATTTTCTGGCAAAGCTCACCCTCTCTGGATCCTGCATCTGACTTGTCATCCTCTGACCTCTGTTTCTTGGGACATGAGCCAGCAGCCTGCTGCCTGATCTGTGGATTTTGGGTTCGTCAGCCCCTACAACCAAGTGAGTCAGGAGAAGCCTCCATCCTGACACCAGACACATAAATTTGAGACTTGCCAGCCTCCACATTTCCTTGAAATAAATCTCTCTTTATGTATATATATATACATATGCTTCACTGGTTTTGATACTTTAGAGAACACAGCTGTCTTAGTTATCTAGTGCTGCTATAACAAAAATGACACAAGCAGATGGCTTTAACAAAGAGACATTTATTCTCTTACAGTTTAGGAGGCTAGAAGTCCAAATTCAGGGCACCAGCTCTACGGGAAGGCTTTTTCTCTGTCGATTCTGGGAGGAGGTCCTTGTTTCCTTTCAACATCTGTGGGCCCAGCAGAGCTCCATGTATCTTGGCATCAATCTTCCCCTGGGCCTAGGAAGTTCTCAGTGCAGGGACCCTGGGTCCAAAGGACATGCTCTGCTCCCAGCTCTTCTTTCTTGATGGTAGTGAAGTCCCTCCCCTCTCTGCTACTTCTCTCTCCTTTTATCTCTTATAAGATAAAAGGTGTGACTCAGGCGAGGATGTGACTTGAGTAAGGCCATGACTTGAGTAAGGTGGTGACTCAAGATACACCCCACACTAATCCTGGCTCATTAACGTATAGAGGTTTAGGATTTACAGCACATAAAATGGAGGGTAATTACACAAGACCACAAAACGGAGGACAATTCCATCAGATCACAAATGAGGGCAACTACACAATACTGGGAATCATGGCCTAGCCAAGTTGATACATATTTTGGGGGGACACAATTCAATCCATGACAAACTGCCTTTGTGCAGAGCCCAGGCCAGGCCCCCAGTAACCTCTATCTGGTTCCTGGGCCCTCTGCCATCTGGTTCCTTTTCCTGATTTTGGCTGTATGAGAAGGTTTTGAGGTTGAAGTGGGAATCTATCTGTCCATCTACCATTTTATTCGTTCATGCTCTTATTTGCTCATTAATTCTCTGAACACTTAATGAGCATCTACTGTGTGCCAGGCCTGTGCTTCAGGTTAGGGGTACAGGGATGAACAAGGCCTGTTACCTGTACTCAAGATGCTCTTAGTCTGGTTGAGGAGATGGACAGATTCACACCAGGCAGCCATGCTGTAACTCCTCTGCTGTGGAGTTTATTGAGTACCGACAGAACGGATGCTCATAGGCCTACCTTATAGTGGCTGTGAAGGTTAAATGGGGCAATGCACATAGAACACTCAGCCCTCGCCTACTCACAAAAAGCCTTCTATTGGAGTAACAGAGGAAAAAGGACTGTCAGGAATAGGGGGAGGATATGGAATGTGTGGCTAATTGCCTCCATGAACAACTGCCTCCTTTGCCAAGAGACCAGAAGAACTGGATGGTGCCTGGCTACCATTACTGAAGGTTTTGATCAAAGAGTCTATAGAACAATCTTGATCTAAACGGGGAAAATGCAGAACAGAATTTCAAATTCTCATGGACTCCAGACTTTCTGGAGCCATGGAAGCTGGATGAATCCTTGAAACCATTGTCCTGAGATAATATTTAAACTTTGAACCAAAAATATCCCCTGAAGTCTTCTTAAAACCAAACAATCATTTAGCTTAACTAGTAAAAAACATCTGCCTGAGCATTATGCTCTTTTAAGATCTATCTGTATGGGATCAAATTGACAATAGCAACTCGAAAGATATGGGGACAGTGAGTTTGTTAATGGGGGAGGAACAATTCAGAAAAGGAGGGTGAGAATGGCTGTACAACTTGAAGAATGTAATCAGTGTCACTGAATTGTCCATGTAGAATTGTTGAACTGGTATATGTTCTGTGTTTATTCTCAACAACAACAGAAAATAAAATAAATTTTTTTAAAAAAGAAGAAAAAAAGGCCCTCTGTAAGTGCTTGCTATTAAATCAATAATAATCTTCTCATGCTGTGTGTCTGTAGAGGTGGAAGCCAAGGGGGACACTGACAGACTTACTACTGAGGCGCTGAAGAGGCTGGTCAATAAGCCAGAGCTGCTTGCACTAACAGAGAGCCTCACTCCGGACCAGACCGTGGGATTCTGGATGCCTCAGACAGAGATGGAGGCAATAGAGCTTGAACTAGGGGCCGGGGTACGGCTGAAAACTCGGGGCGATGGCCCCTTCCTGGGTGAGCAGCGTGGCCCCCGCTCTGGCATAATTTCCTGTGTGGCATGTGAGGGCTCCTGGTCTCTCTTCTGAGGCTTCCCCACCTCTTCTGCGCAGAGCTCATGGGAGCAGGCTGGTCTGGTCTCTATAGGGACATAACCTCTTGAGATTTATTCCTAAGTCCCTGGAGAAGTGCCCTGGAGTCCTTAGCCTGGACACTGGATCCTAGAGTGTTGCCCAATCCCATAGTTCCTATGAGTGACCCTACAACCTAGTGCCTCTGGGGATTCCACTTAGGGTCTCACTGACTTCACCCTGGCCTGGATTGAACAGTGGCTTAACCCAGTCCTGGGGGACCCACCAGAATGGAACTAGCCCCCACTATGTTTCCACCACAAGGAGCGAGGCCATTCAACTTCTACCCTTCTTTCAGATTCATTAGCCAAACTTGAGGCTGGAACAGTGACCAAGTGTAATTTTGCTGGTGATGGAAAGACAGGTGCATCCTGGACAGACAATATCATGGCCCAAAAGTCTTCAGAAGGGGCTGCAGCGGAGACCCGAGAGCAGGGAGACGGGGCAGAGGACGAGGAATGGGTAGGTCAGGGAGATGGCTGTGGACCTGGGATTGGCGCGGTTCTATCTTTTGGCAGTTTTATATGTGTTGGTTGTAGCTGGGTGTAGGATGAGGAGAGGACAGCAGGATAAATCTTTGGTGGTGGGCTCATCTTTGGAACTCCTGAGAGTATGTTAGCTGTGAGGAAAATTCTTGCAAGGTATGAAGGGTGACAACCTGTGTCTCAGTTACCTAGTGCTACCATAACATAAATGCCATAAGTAGATGGCTTTAAAGAACAGAAATTTATGTTCTAACAGTTCTGGAGGCTGTAAGCCCAAATCAGGGTCTCAGCTTGTGGATTCCTTCTGTGGGTCTCTATTTGTTTCCAGCGTCCACCAGCATTTCTTGGTGTTCCTTGGCATCTGTCTTCCCCTGGTGTATGTCTCTGTGTCTATTCTGGTCTTTTTGTAACTTAGAAGTGATTAAGTTTAGGATCCACCCTTACACTGGTATGGTCTCATTAACATAGCAAAAGGAAAAACAAGGTCACATCCACAGATACAGGTGGTGGAATTTCAATACATGTGTTGGTAGGGGGTGGGGGGTTACAATTTAACCCATAACAACCTGGGACCTTTCTTGTTGGTGGGTCTGAACTATCTACGTGAAAGCCCCAAAGATTTATCAGAGTGAGGGGATAGGAAGAAAGGGGTTCAGAGGAGAACCAGTGATGGTCATTAAGTCTCTCAAAACATTTCTACTTGAAGGGAATACATTAGCCACGTTGAACAGTAGAGTGGTTGGATGAGTATTTGTTTTCTCCTTTGGTCTGGGCTCCTGTCCAAAGTGGCTGGAAAATGACTGACTTGGTTCTTACTAGTCCCTCTTCTCCCCCAGGCAGCCCCCTAGTTTATCACCAGGCTGCAGCCTACTCACAGTTGATTTGTTTTCCTGAAGTGTATTTCACCCAAAGATTTGAATCCATATCAAAGGCCCCAATTGAGCATTTAAAACAAAGATCTTTCTTGGCAGAAAAATGGGCTATTTATCTAGGTGAGAAAGATGATGATTTTTTTGCAAGAGAAAGCAGGGGCAGATAGAATAGAGGGTCTGGATTCCCTTTTGTCTTAGTAAAGTAGGTCTTGGACTGAAAAACAGTTGAGAGCTGCTGGGCTGGCTCCTGGGGCCAACCGTAATGAGGGGAAGCCAAAGCAGGTGACCGAGGGCTTCACCAGTACCACGCGAGCAAACCTTTGCCCGATGATTTATGTAAGCCTTTTACTAAATATTCTCTGTTTATGTCTCTTTACCCTCGTGGATTTCTCCAGGATGACTGAGTAAGTGGAAGATGGAGTGCCACCAGGCCCACCAGCACCTTCTATGGCACTGTTGAGAGTTTCTTCCATCGACTTCCACTCTGGAGCTCAAGGCAGAGAGCAGTCCACCAAGCCTTACCTGATTCTTCCTACTGCCATCTTGGAACACCCTTTGGACAAGCTCTGCTAAAATCAAATCCAAGACCAAGACGTTAACGTTGGGGCCCTGTGCTGTGGCTCATGGAGGGGCCCTCCCTGGATGTGAGTCTAGCCTTCTTATTTTCACAATGGCCCTTGCCCTGGTGGCAGCCTTGTTTTTAGAGGCAGGCAGTGGACGAGTCCCCCAGGACAGTCTGAGATGAACTGGCTTGGTCTTGGTGCAGAGGCGGGGAACATCCCTCATCTGAATGCAGAGTGGCCAGGAGGGAAGGTACCATGGGCACCTTCCAATGTGCATGTTATGCTTTCTGCTTTCCTTCCGCACTCCCACTCTCTCCCAGCCCCCACACCCTGTGTTGCAGCCTCTATGCTCCTGCTTCCAGCTTCCTTGTTCCCTATACCTCTTGCTTCCTCCACTGATTGCATGCCACCATAGAGTTTCCTGTCTTCTACCCTCCCTGGCTGGTTCCTGGTGGGTGCTGTTCTCAGGGAGGCCGACAGTATTTGCTGGTATGGCTGCCTGGTCCTCACCTCTCAGACTCACTCTACCATGCTGCATTTTTGATAACACCTTTTGTGTTGTTGTTTGGTACCTTGAGAACTTTTTCTGAATGAGTAAATTTTCAGAAAATAATTCTTCCACATTGACTGGCTTATTGTCAGGCATAAACCGTCTCCCAGCTGAGCAATGTCCCTATTGGAAGGACGCCATCTCTCTTTGGTCATGAACTTTGCCTTGCTAGCTAGTGTGTCCAAACCCAGGTCTGTAAAGAGATCTGGAGTTGAAATGTACATGTCCTAAGAATGGGTAAGGACTTAGTGGCGGTGGATGGATCCGGCTTGACTTGGGGAAAGGAGGGGGGGTGATGGTGAACTAACAATTATTGAGTCCCCCTAATGTGTCAAGGAGTCCCTGGGTGGTGCAAACAGTTAACACGCTTGGCTGCTAACTGGAAGGTTGGAAGTTTGAGTACACCCAGACGCTCCTTGGAAGACAGGCCTGGCGATCTACTTCTGAAAAATTGGTCATTGCAAACCTTATGGAGCACAATTCTGCTCTAACACACATGAGGTTGCCATGAGTCAGAATCAACTGGATGGCAACTGGTAAACTGGTAATGTGTCAAACACTGTGCTAGATGCTTTCTGTGATAATAGCTATAACCACCAACTATGAGTGCTTCCTGTATGCTAGTACTGTGCTAAGCACTTGCATTATCTTATTTAATCTTCACAGCAATCCCATGAAGTACATGTGATTATTATCCCCTTTTTCAATATGAGACTGAAGCTCAGAGGCTTCATAGCTAGTATGTAAAGAGAAGAATTTAAATCCAGGCCATCAGATTTCAGTGCCCATATTAATTATTGGAATACTCTGGTGGCGCAGTGGTTAAGCATTTGGCTCCTAGCCAAAAGGTCAGCAGCTGGAATCCACCAACCGTTCTTTGGAAACCCTATGGGGCATTTCTACTCTGTCCTATAGGGTCGCTATGAGTCAGAATCAACTCTACGGCAACGAGTTTGGGTTTGTTTTTTTTTTTTTTAGTTTTATTCTGATTCCACGTACATATTACAGAGGAGGAAAGAGCCTCAGAGAGGTTAAGCAAATTGCCTAGAGTCACACAGCTACTAAGTGACAGAGCAAGGATTCAGATCCAGAGCTGTGTGAGGCAAAGCTTATGCTCCTTCCACTGCCTTCTGCTTCCTTGGCCTACGGAAGGGTCTTGGACACGGGCCAGAGGGAGCCCTGGCTCTGTGAAGCAGGGTGATATTCCCAGACTCCGAGGGACTTGTTCAGACCCTTGACTGCTGATCTTTCCAGGCTGGAACCAGCTCTATTGCTATCAACAGTTGAATAATTAATATTGTACATCCAGTGCTCATTATCATAGTTCAAATATTTGTTTACCCTCTGGCATATTTGTGAATGGGTTTAACTCTATGGCTGTGAGGCTCAACATTCACACTTCAGTTGGGCCACTGGAAGTCACAGGTCACTGAAAAACAAGCTTCTCCTCTCGTTGCCTTTTTCATAATCCCTATCCTCACAATCTCTCACCTCAAACATTATAGTAGCCACCTCACTGGTGTCCTGTATCTGACACCATGCTGGGACCTCAGTCATGGCAGTGGTCAGAGAGGTGGTTGAACAAGAGGACGGCTGAGGACACTGACTGGAACAGAGGCACCCAGTAGGGGCATCTTGTTGCCCAAGGCACTGTGGCCAGAGAATATGGCAGGCTCTTATGGGCAGGCCACCATTCCAAACAAAAAGGCCCAGTACGTCAATGGAGGAAGTCCTGAGGCAACAAAAAGGGCTTGGTGTCTTAGAGAAGCAGTAAGAAGGAAAGGCCACTGTGGCAGGAGGTCAGAGAATGGGTAGAGGTGGATGTGTTTGAGATGAAGCTGGAGATGGGGCAGACCATCTTAAGGCATGTTAAGGATTTTGGACGTAAGCCAATGATCCCATGGAGGGTGTCAAGATCTAATTTGTATGTTTCAAAGATCACATGACTACAGAGAAACTGGAGGTAATGAACCCAATTAGGAAACTTGCAGTTATCCAAGTTAGAGCTTATAGTGGTTTGGTCTATAGCTGTGGCAGTAGAGATGGAAAGAAATTATTTGAGGGGCATTCAGGGGCAGAATCAACAGGACTTGGGGGCCAAGAATGGTGCCCAGATTCTGGATGAATGGAGGTGCTATGGGGGTAAGCAGTGATGCTACAGTTCCTGGTGACCTGTTCATTTAGCAGGAGTCCAGCCAGTGGCTAGGAAGTGTAGGGAGCTGAATCCAGCCCCCTGGGGAAGGGAAAGCCAAGTGACTTGGGGGCAAGAACAGGGTTCCAGGTTTAGCAGGTAGGGAAACTGAGGCAGAGCCCTATTCCCTAGGACTAGGAAGGGAGAGCATGGAAAGCTGCTATGGCTCAGGTTGTGTGGGCACTGAGGGCTCATTCTGGCACCCTGGAGAGAAGACCTGATGATAACAAAACTCAGTTCTCAAGCTCCCCAGAAGATGGTGAGGCCAAGGCCTCTGATTTAGCTGTACCTCCTGCCCTGGTCAGAACTGACTCAGATATCGGGCAGTCCTAGCCCATGGATGGAACATCATTAGCTAACAGCTGTGGGGAACTGGTGGCACCTTGGTGGTGCAGTGGTTTAAACATTTGGCTGCTAACCAAGAGGTCAGCAGTTCGAGTCCACCAGCCATTCCTTGGAAACCCTATGAGGCAGTTCTACTCTGTCCTTTAGGGTCACTATGAGTCAGAATTGACTTGACAGCAATGGATTTGGTTTTGGTTTTTGGTAGGGAACTGAAGCAGGGGCTGAAACCCTGTTCGAGGGTTCCCCAGTGTTAGGGACTGAATTGTGTCCCCCCAAAATATGTGTTGTAAATCCTAACCTCTATGCGTATGGTTATAATCCCATTTGGGAATGGGTTGTCTTTGTTAGGTTAATGAAACAGGATTAGCGTAGGGTATGAGTCTTTAGTCGGTCTCCTTTGAGATATAAAAGACATTAAACAGGCAAGCTAGGAAGCAGAGATGGGGGAAGAGAGATGCCAAGCTACACGAAGATCTCCCAAGAGCGGAAGCTTAAAGAGACAAGGACCTTCCTCCAGAGAAAGCCTTCCCCTAGAGCCGGCACCCTGAATTCTGACTTCTATCCTCCTAAACTATGAGAAAGTGAATTTCCGTTTGTTAAAGCTATCCATTTGTGGTATTTCTGCAGCACTAGATAATTAAGACACCCAGGGTCCCCCACATGGCAGCCAGGGCCAGCTTCCTGAAACCCAGACTGGATCCCGTTACTCCCCAGATGAAAAGTTCAGGTTTCTTAACGCAACCCACAGAGCTCATCACATACCACAACCCACCCTTCTTTCTCTGCTGGCCTCCTGTTGGTGAGCTCTGTGCCTCATTCCAGAGCAGTCTGATGGATCTTCTACAGGTTGACAATAGATGCTCGAAACAGAAAGGTAGTGATGGTGGTGGGGTGAGCAATTCATTGTACAACATTAGATTAAATAAAATCAGACAGGTTTCTTTTCTGTAGGATTTCTCAGAGCTTTTAAGATGCAAATATTGATTGTAACTCATCAAGACAGCATATGATTGCATATTTCCCATGTTTATTTGACCATAAACCAAACCAGGTGCTGTGGAGTCTATTCCAGCTCCTGGCGACCCCCGTGAATAGAACTTTGCTCCATGGGGTTTTCAATGGCTGTGATCCTTCAGAAGTAGATCACCAGGCCTTTCTTCCTAAGTAGCTAAGCATTTAACCATTGGTGCCACCTGAGGCTCTTTTATTTGACCATAGAACACACCCCCCCCCCGTTTTTTTTTGCAGGAGCATCTCATGGAAAGGTTTTACAGTTAAGGAAACAGATACTGTGCCTCTTTTATAGATGAAGAAGCTTGCCCAAGGTCCACAGGCAGCCAACAGAACCAGGCAATGTGGTTCCAGAGGCCTGGGCTGCCATTCCATTAAATATAATTATTCATATTTTGATTATCTCCTTCCAGTCTTTATATATATAAATATATTTACAAAGTGGGATATTCCTGTGCATACGTTGTATAATCTTTTCACTCAGATATGTCGTGAACATTTCTCTATATCATAAATCTTTCACAACATGATTTCTGAAGAACTAATTACTATTTCTTCTATGCATGTGGAACAATGCATTGAACTAATTTCTCATTTTGCAAATAGCTTGCTTCCCCCTGTAAAAACACTGCTGAGATGTACGTTCTTGGAGCTAAATCTTTTCTCACATCCACAATCATTTTATCATATGTTCTAGTACTGGAAAGTCTGGGTCTAGTGTTATATACATATTGAAGGCTTTTGATACATATTGCCAAACCGTACTCTGAATAGATTATTACAATTTGCAGTTCTGTCCGCAGTGTACAGACATGTTTATTTCCCTACCCCTCACCCACATTAGGACATTAAAAGAAAAAACAAAAACTTCACCGATTTGGGATCATAGGGACCTTTTAAATAAAATTCCATTAAGATCCTTTCATTCCACCGTTCCCTGTTTACCATGGAGAAACATAATCCCGTTTGCTCGAAGAGACATCTATATAATTCACTGCAGCATTGTCTGTAATACTGAAAAATAAAAACCACATGTTCAGCAACCAGAGAATGGCTAAATTAAGTTGTATCTCCACGCCGCGGAACGCTCTGCGACTACTAGGGGACTGTATGGTTAAGCACGGACGGTTAGAAAGGCAAGCTTTCGTCGCCTCTTCGGAGTTTCTGCCTCCGGATCTGCTTTTCCGCCGTGCCCGGCTTCCTGCCGGGCTCGGGATTCTAGGGCAAGAGGTCGGTCTGGGCGAGAAGCACGGAGCCGGGCTCGGGTCCTGGCCTGGCTCTATCTGCACCTGCCCTCCTGGGGTGAGCCGCCTCAGAACCGCAGAGGCCGCACTCTTGGGCGCTCGGGACCCAGGGTGCTGGGGCCGGGTTTCCCGGTGCCGCTCTCCGCCGCGCACCGACCGGAAGTGGTGTCTTGAGGCGGAAGAAGCTGCTTTCTGCGAGCCGCTTGTGCTGAGAGAACGGTGCACCTGGAAGATGATTCATGCCATTCTGGTTTTCAACAACCACGGGAAGCCGCGGCTGGTCCGCTTCTACCAGCGTTTTGTGAGTGCGGCCCGGCTTGCCTTCAGTGTGGCCGCGAGCCTTCCCCTCTTGTTGGCCCCCACGGCTCCTGCGGGCACCGCTAGTGGGCTCGGTCCCCTGCACTGTGCCTGACGCTCACACTCGTTAACCTTCCCCGGACAGAGGCCGGTACCAGACCGTCTGTCCCACGCTCCGCAGCCCCTGCGCTCTCTAACTCGTTCTTGGGCCCCGGCTTTTCTGTGCCATTTTGTGTCATTTCCCCTTGGGTCTCGGCACCAAGTATAAGCGGCAGCCGGGTGGGGTGTGCCTCATTCGGAACTTGAAACATTGAAATCCTTTAATTTCGTTGGTTGTGAACAGTTTCGCTAGGAGGAAGAAACATTCAACTTAACGTATTTGCTTACCCAGAGGGTCTGGAAAAGTTATTTCTTGGAATCCTTTTGCTTCAGTGTTGGGGCTCCCCAGGGGAATAGGTTCCCTTCACTCTGGAGAGTTGAAGAAAGTCAGTTAAGAAGTGGGAAAATGATGAGAAATTATAAGTGCTGCCGCGTGAGGGCTGACTAAATGATCATATGAATTTTCCGATCGTATGAATTTTCCCAAAACTTTCCTGTGGAAAACCACAAGTATCATTTGCCTCCGCCCCCACCCCTCAACATTTTATTTCTTAGGGGCTAGGTTTCAGAATGTTACCTAACGGGAGAGGGGGGCCTGGTGGAACAGAAGAAAGAGAAAACCTAGGTTCAGGCCTCAGCCCTGTGTCTGTTGACAAGTTAAATCTCTGTCAGACTTTATTTCCTCTTTCTTCAGATGGAGATGAAACGATTTTACCTTTTTAATAGGACTTTTATTAGCTAGATTACATTTTAAGTAAGTTACATCAAGATAAGAATATGAGCATTCATGGTAACTCTACAAGCTGTATTTGCATTTTTGTGTGTAAATTTTTTCCTCATTTTTAAAAAAAGTTTTATTAAGATAGGTTACATGTGATACAGTTTACCTATTTAAAAAGTACATTTAAATGGTTTTTAGTATATTCACAGAGTTGTGCAGCTGTCACCACAAAATTCTAGAACATTTTCATCACCCCAGAAGAAGCCCATATTCATTAGCTAGAAGTCATCTGGCAACGACTGATCTTTCTGTCTCTATAGATTTGCCTGTTCTGAACATTTCACTTAAATGGAATCATACAATATGTGGTCTTTTGTGACTGGTTTCTCTCACTTAACGATTCACTTTCTTTTAGCATATGATTTCAAGGTTCATCCATGTTATAGCATGTATCAGTATTTCATTCCTTTTTATTGTTGAATAATAATTACGTTGTATGAATATACCACATTTTGCTGATGCATTCACCTGTTTCTGACTACTGCGAATAACGTTGCTATGAAATTCATGTAGAAGTTTTGTGTGGATGTACGTTTTCATTTTTCTTGGCTATATGCCTACGAAGGAGTCCTGGTGGCGCAGTGGTTAAGCGCTTGGCTGCTAACTGAAAGGTTCGTGGTTTGAACCCACCAGCTGCACCGAGGGAGAAAGATGTGGTAGTCTGCTTCTGTAAAGATTATAGCCTTAGAAACCCTTTGGGGCAGTTCTGCTCCGTCCTGTGGGGATGCCATGAGTTGGAATCAACTCAATGGCAATGGGTTTGGTTTTGGTTATATACCTAGGAGTAGAATTGCTGGGTCATATGATAATTCTATGTTTAACTTTTTGAGGAACTGCCAAAATGTTTTCCAAAGCAGCTGCAGCATTTTACATTCCCGTTTACAACATATAAGTGTTCCAATTTCTCCACACTCTCACCAACACTTTAATTATATCTTTTTTATTACACCCACTCCTCACTTATCCAGATGGTTGGCTTCAAAAGACTAGGTCCTTATGCGAAAATTGGCATTATGTGAAAATGGAGGATAACTACATCATTACCAACCAAAAGCAAACCTGTTGCTGTCGAGTTGATTCTGACTCATAGTGACCCCATAGGTGGTGGATTCGAACTGCTGACCTTTTGGTTAGCAGCCAAGCTTTTAACCACTGCGCCACCAGGGCTCCGCGTCATTACATAGCTGCTAAATTATACCATTACATAACTGCCAAACTACATCGTTCTATAACTGCCAAACCACCGAGAATCATGGCCCAGCCAGGTTGTCACATAGCCTTAACCATCACAGCCAGCATTATTCTTGCCTAGCGCTTCGGCATTCATTACTGCCGATGCACGTTGTTAATGAGCAAAATAATCAGATGGTAGGTTTTTTACTGTTGTAAATTTGAAATTTAGGATAACAAGATAGTAAATGAGGAGTAGGTGTATAGCCATCCTCGTGAGTATCAATTGCATGCACTTCGCTAATGACAAAGGAAGGAGCCCTGGTGGCACAGTGGTTAAGTACTCTGCTGCTAACAGAAGGATCAGCAGTTTGAACCACCAGCTGTTCTGCAGGAGAAAAGACCTGGCTATCAGCTCCTGTAAAGATTACAGTCTAGGAAGCTCCAGGGGTCAGTTCTACTCTGTCTTATAGGGTCACTATGATTGTAATTGACTTAACAGGGAACACAACAATGGCAAAGGTGGAGTTTCTGGGTATTGCAAAAAATTAAGCGCTGGACTACTAGCCAAAAGGCTGGTGATTTGAATCCACCCAGAGGCACCTCAGAAGACAGGCTTGGCGATCTGCTTCTGAAAGGACAGCCTTGAAAACCCTATTGGTGCAGTTTTGCTCTGCACATGTGGGGGTCGCCATGAGTAGAAATCGACTGGACAGCAACTAACAACAGTGACTAAGGTGTTGAGCATCTTTTTATATGCTTATTGGCCATTTATTTATCTTCTTTGGAGATCGTAGGATTTGTATAAGAGCCAAATGAGCTGTAAGTGAAAAGTTCCTTGCAGAGTACCAAAAAGTATACCTGCAGAGTACTAAAATAATGTGAGCGTTATTAAAATAAGGAATATAAGCAATTGGTAGTTTCTCGTTCTGCTGAATTAGAAGTTAGTTAGCCTCACCATTGCATACCACTTGTCCACAGACCGCTACCACTACTCTCTGCAATCAGATAAAAGGCTTTAGATCAAAAGATGTTTTTGCCAGTTTAAAAAAGTGCTGATGCTTAGCATATTTTGTATTTCAGAGTACACAGAGTTAATCTATAGTATCACGGCATCTGTGAGCTTTGTGTGGAAACTAGGGATATAGTGACTGATTTACTCCAACTTAACAGTGGTCAGTTATTAGCAAGTTTTTATTCATTCATTCAGTAAATACTGAGAGCCACTGTATACTCATGTTGAGTCAAAGTTACGAAAATAATTTTTCCACAATGACAATTTCCCTGTTTTTCCCCTTTCTAGTTCTTTTAAATAACTGACCATTTCAAACCTAAATTCAGTGCTGTACAAAGAAAGGGATTAAAATTGCTTAAATCTATTTACTGACTCTTCCAGCAAATCCAGTCTGAAGGTTTTCTTAAGCTTTGCTACTCAGTGTTGTCCCCAGACCAGCAACATTTGGTATCACGTGGGAGCTTGTTAGAAATTCAGCCTCAGACCTTATCCCAGACCTACTAAATCAGAATCTGCACTTTAACAAGATTCCCAGGTGATTCAGTGCACATTAAAGTTTGGGAAGCACTGGTCTAGAACTTTTCATTTCTGTCTTAATGACTGGTTTCTCCTTCCCATCATCTTTTTTACCACACTTATGAACCTCAGACAGAAATTAAATGTGAGTTATTAAGAGACTGCATCATACTTGGGCTTTTGCATGTATGTAGTAAGTGAAAAAAATTTGTAGCTCAGCAGTTGTTCAAAATTCTAATCTGTAAATAGAACTTTTTCTTGTTTTCTCAGTAATACTTTGTTGATGAGTAACACAGCATCTTATATGTAGTACCTATATTACTAGTACAAAGGATGGAAATTTCAGTTTCAAAAACGTGTACATGATTACATCTTGACTTCTTCAAAGTGTCAGGCCTTTTGACATGCGTAATTTACCTGGCTTAGATATTTTCCAAGGGAAGACAGTATTTCAGGGCCAGGCCTTCTAGTTTTTCTTTGACCTTGTACGAGAGTTTATTAATTCTCCTTTCCTTGTTTGTTAGATATGAAGAAATATCAGCTTACCTATCAGGATGATAATGGTTAGTGCGTGAGATAGCTAGGTAAATATACTCAGTTTTAATTCTTATAGCACAGCCTTGTCATCCATTTTCCACAGATTTGCTCTTTATTTTCTCTCCACTTGTCATTTTTATCTTCTCTGGAAACTGGCACTAAGCCTTCAGATCATTCCAGCTAGGGAGCCCGTCTTTCCCTGTCCATCCCCATTGATGGGATGTAGTTTTTCAGACTTGCCCACTGATTCACTTTACTTCTTTTGTTCCATAGCCAGAAGAAATTCAACAGCAGATTGTTCGAGAGACTTTCCATCTAGTCCTCAAGCGGGATGACAACATCTGTAACTTCTTGGAGGGTGGAAGGTAAGCTATCAGCTTCCGTTTTTTCCCCTTAAGTCCACTTTTGGGTGGCCTTTATCATCATTGCTTCTTCAGGCAGTACTCAAGGGTCAGGTGTGTACCTGATGCAACTTGAACTGGTCTTAGAATGACCTGCTCAGGGAGACACCCAGTTCCGTTTTGGAAGCTACTATTGTGCTTCAGGTATTACTCATTTAGATGTTTGGTCCCTGGGCAGATGGGCAGGGTGAAAGGTGAGGTAAAGTGGCTTTAGGCACCTCTGTCAAAGTTGGCTGCTGTTCACCTGGTAGAAATATTCTGCTTCTATTGTTTGGCCTGTTTTCCCCCTGTCTGTTGGGCTCTTTCTCATTCCTTGGCACAGAGTCTCCTTTTTGTAGGTTTAATTAAGATAAAGACATTTAAGTGTTTCCCATCGTCCGCAGTTTGATTGGTGGCTCTGACTACAAACTGATTTACCGGCACTATGCGACCCTCTACTTTGTATTTTGTGTGGATTCGTCAGAGAGTGAACTTGGGATCTTGGACCTCATCCAGGTATGTGTAGTTGGCTAACAGTGAAAGGAGAGTTTGCACTGCATTTTTGAGTACCCAGCCTGTAGATCCTGTTGTCATTCTTTTTATCGATATTGGTAAAAGTTGCCAGATATCCACCAGGTGGTGCTCTGAGAAAGCTCCTAAGCAACCCTCAAAAACTTAAGAGCTTTTGGATTCATTGGTTGCTACCCAGCCCTCTCACTGCTCTTGGTTTTCCTGTTTGAAAATGTTTTCAGCTATCAAGTCAAATGACTTTAAAAAATTTATTCTTTATTTTTTCACTTGTAATTCTAGCCTAAAGCAAAGAAACTAGGCAATCTTGATGTAAGTAAACATGATTTCTGTTAGGCTTTTTGAAAATTAGGAATTGCTTACAGATTCTTTTCATTATCTTCATGGAACCTGAGATGTGTAGGGACCATAGCTTGGGAACCATAAATCTGGTACAGTTCCATCATTTTTACATGAGATTCTTGGTGGACCTCTTTTAAGTGACTTGAATAAGCCACATAATAGGAGGTTACATTGAAAACCTAATTAACAATTATGGAAAAGGGAGCTTTCTAGCTACAACATATAAACTTGAAATACTTATAACTATATATGTTTTGTTAAGATAAACATAAAATTAAAGAAGCTAAGTTTAATATACCTAGGGGAAAATAAATGGAAGTTTTGAGTATATATTTTTGTTTCAAATACACTGGAGTCTTTTATAAAAACTGGTGTTCTGCTTGGACATAGCAACTTTTAAATTTTATTTTATATGTGTATTTATGCCCATTCATATTCGGAAAAGGATTTAAAATTTTAATAATCATACTCAGTTATCATAATACATGAATAATGAAAACATCTAAGAAAGATTCATCTCTAAGATAATTTGAAAATACTTTAACACCTGGGTCAGATTGGACATTGAGAGTCAGAGTGGCATAATAGAATCAAGATCTAGAATCAGAAAACCTGGGTTTGAGTCATGAATCAACCCTCTGAAAATAAAGCTAATAGGCTGTAGAATTCAAATGTGACAATGTATTTGTAGTATTGGAAACTATGTTGTGTTGTCAGGTGCTACTGATTTGATTCCGACCCATAGGATAGTATGTACAACAGAATGAAACACTGCTGAGTCCTGCACTATCCTCACAATCCTTGCTATGCTTGAGCCCATTCTTGCAACCACTGTGTCAATCCATGTCTTTGAGGGTCTTCCTCTTTTTCATTGACCCTCTACTTTACCAAGCATGATATCCTTCTCCAGGGACTGGTCCCTGCTGATAACATGTCCAGAGTACATGAGATAAAGAGCATTCTGGCTGTACGTCTTCCAAAACAGATTTGTTCATTCTTCTTACAGTCTGTGTTACATTCAGTATTCTTCACCAACACAATAATTCAAAGGCATCCATTCTTCTTCGGTCTTCCTTATTCATTGTCCAGCTTTCACGTGCATATGAGGCGATTGAAAATACCATGGCTTGGGTCAGGCGCACCTTAGTCCTCAAAGTGACATCTTTGCTTTTTAACCCTTTAAAGAGGTCTTTTGCAGCAGATTTGCCCAATGCAATACGTTGTTTGATTTCTTGACTGCTGCTTCCATAGGCGTTGATGTGGATCCAAGTAAAATGAAATCCTTGACAAGTTCAATCTTTTCTCTCGTTTATCATAATGTTGCTTATTGGTCCAGTTGTGACGATTTTTGTTTTCTTTATGTTGAGGTGTAATCCATGCTGAAGGCTGTAGTCTTTGATTTTCATGCTATAAAAATATGCCTATAATAAAAAGGTATTTAAAAATAAAGGAAACATAGCTATAATAAAAAATTGGAAAGGCCCCTGGGTAGCGCAGATGGTTTGCATTCAGCTGGTAAGCAAAAGGTTAGTAGTTCAAACCCACCCAGCAGCACTACGGAAGAAGTAGGCCTGGCAATCTGCTTCCGCAAATATTACAGTCAAGAAAACCCTATGGGGCAGTTGTAGTCTGTAACACATAAGTCACAACTCAACAACAAAAAATTAGAATACAGCTGTTAGGGGAAAATGGACTTCACAGATCTATATTAACTAGAAAAAAAAAGGAAAGAAATGTGATGGTATAATTTACCGGACACTTATTAAATGTTTAGTGTGTATTGGATTTGGGATGTCAGATAAATAAAATGTGAAAATAACAGCAACTAAAAGGTTTGATCTTTGAAAAGACAGTAAAATCATTAAATAGTTGGCCTAATTAATATGAAGAGAATAAAAGTCAGAAATAGAAAACATTAGAATGTTTTTAGGAGAAGGTATATATCAGCTTTGGACGTCATCCGGAAAGATCAATCACTAGAAAAGGACATCACGTTTGGTAAAGCAGAGAATCAGCAAAAACAAGGGAAACCGTCAATGAGATGGATTGGCACAATAGTCACAACAAGGGACTCAAACATACCAGTGATCCTGAAGATGGCACAGGATAGAGCAACCTTTCATTCTGTTATACATAAAGTAGCTGTGAGTTGGAGCTGACTCCCCAGCAACTAACAACAATAATAATAGCGTAATTATATTACCAATATATTTGAAATAACTGACTAGAAAAACCAAATACCTAAATTAGGTCACCACAACAACACTTAAGTAATTAGGATGAAATAAAGGTTGAAAAAGAAAAAGAAAACAACTGACTTCCTAATGGACTCACCAAACCCAAACCAAACCCATTGCTGTCCAGTTGATTCCTACTCATCGCAACCCTATGGGACAGGGTAGAGCTGCCCTATAGGGTTTCCAAGTCATGGCTGGTGGAGATTTGAGCTACCCACCTTTTGATTAGCAGCCAAGCTCTTAACCACTGTGCCACCAGGGCTCCGATGGACTCACAGTAGAATTTAAAAAAAAAAAAAAAAAAGTGGAAATATAATAAAACGTCTATATTATGTAAGTTATTTTTAAACTTAGAAAAAAATGCGCTACTACTTAAATGTATTCTATGAAATAAGTTGGTTGTGATCCCAAAACCCTACAAGAGTACGCTAAAGAAAATGTTACTCAAATATTGCATTTTAGTATTGGTATAAAATTACTTAAGAAATCTTAACCAATAATCAGTTGAACTTGGGGATCAAGAGATCTGGCTTTTGTTTTTGCCTCTTCCATTAACAAGCAGTGTGGCCTGAAATCGTTTAAGCTTTGCTGGCCTCAAGGGTTTTTATTTGTTTATGTTTTGGTTTTTGTGTCCCTGGGTGTGGACAGTGGTTAAGCACTTGACTAAATACTAAAAGGCTGGCAGTTCAAACTCACCCAGAGGTGCTTCAGAAGAAAGGCCTGGTGATCTGCTTATGGAAGGTCACAGCCTTGAAAACCCACTGAAGTACAGTTCTGCTCTACATGTGGGGTCCCCATGAGTTGGAATTGACTCAACAGCAACTTTTTTTTTTCAATGTTTTGACTTTTGTGAATTTGTTCATTTTAGTCTGTAAAGATTCTAGATAATTTTTTTCCTCACCTTAAAATTCTTTATCAGGAATACTGCATCTTAGAAGAATTATTCATTGTATCCAAATAGAATTTATCCCAAGAATGCAAGTCTATTTAACAAAGAAAAATTCTTAGAGTCTATTACAGCAGTGAGAAAAAAATAGTGGAAACTAATATAGTTGTATCAGTAGATGCTGAGAGCGGTGATCATCCAGATTATTTTCCTGATAAATACTCTTAAATTGGAAATAGGAAGCATTTTTATTTGAGTAAAAAGTACATATTTATTTATTAGTATAAACTGTTGATATTTTGAATAGATAATAAATTTATATGGTTCAAAATTAAGAAAGCACACCAAGGAAATACAGTGAAAAATAGCCTTTTTCCCCTCTCCCCCAGTCACTTAGTTTACTTTCCTAGAAGCAACAAATTTTAGTTTTGCTAGTTGTTAGCTTGACACATTTTTTTCCAACCTTTTATTTTTAATAAATTCATGTCTTTGTTTCTAAGGTGTGTCTCTTGTAGACAGCATATTGATGGATCCTGTTTT